AGGTCCCTTGGCCTCTCGTAGTCTAGCTCTCTCGAGGACCCTAGGCCTCTCGAGGACCCTTGGCCTCTCGTAGTCTAGCCCTCTCGAGGTCCCTTGGCCTCTCGTAGTCTAGCCCTCTCGAGGTCCCTTGGCCTCTCGTAGTCTAGCTCTCTCGAGGTCCCTTGGCCTCTCGTAGTCTAGCCCTCTCGAGGTCCCTTGGCCTCTCGTAGTCTAGCCCTCTCGAGGTCCCTTGGCCTCTCGTAGTCTAGCTCTCTCGAGGTCCCTTGGCCTCTCGTAGTCTAGCCCTCTCGAGGTCCCTTGGCCTCTCGTAGTCTAGCCCTCTCGAGGAGCCTTGGCCTCTCGAGGTCAAGGATAGGACTAGTAAATATCTTTACCTTTTGTAACTACTCTTTGCGTTTATCAATACTGGATCTGCATGTTCTAGTGCTGCCTCCATATAAGTATTGTACAGTACTGAAGGTTCTCCCGGTCTTGAATCCTGAATTCTTCAGGTCTTGCCAGCTTGGCGCACCTCGCTGCTGCCACTGTGGTGAGTGTCACGCATGCCTGCATGTGCCTGCCTGGTTGAACCCTAAATACGTTTCGTCGGTCGCTTAATGCAAGTACTCTCAACTCTCATTCTCAGTTTTACTTTCGAAAATTGTGTTTTAGTAGGTTTAACTACCTAACACATTTGTTCACTCTCCGTATTTTATTGGTATTTCTATGGTTCATCTGTGTCTTTTGTTTCCGTCTATGGCATCTCGTTTTATAGTGACATATGTTGAACATTTCATTTTTTTATATATATTCAGTCGATACAGCTGTCTTATGGCACTACCATGGCACCGTTGTCACTTCTCTCTAGTATGCAGGGAATTCCGGTCGTGTTAGCTTCTCTTGTAATTCAGTCCTCTTAGTTCAGTAACGAATCTTGTCTGACACCTGTGAATATTGCAGACCTTCGCCCTGTGTTGCTGTGTGTGGGGCTCCACGTGGACTCGCACGCTCAAGGCTGTAAATGATAGTTTTATACGACGTTCTTATGGTATTTATTCCTATATCTGTTATTATTGTGGTTCTCATTAGTTATGTGCTCAGTCACTTTCTTCCCCCTTTGTCAGGGACACAGCTTGCCAGTCCTGTCCCACTCGGGGTCCTTGTTTCCCACTCTTGTTGAGCCGTGTAAAGATCCTCCACCAGACAGGTTGCTCACAATCCGTGAAATATTATTGCAGCCGCTTATCAGTGCCTCTGCACGGTCTGTGTACGCCCTTGTAATCGTACCTGGATCTTGCTGCGTTATTTGCCGGCGTGTTGTGTTACTGCCTCCGTAACTCCAGTGACGCAGCCGCTCCACCTGTTGACTCCTACCGTATTGATCTCTTCGCATTCCATGGTTCTTTTTCACCAGAGGAGCCACTCTTCCTCCTCCAGCTTCTCTTCTGCTGCGTCTTTCTTTCCTAGGAGGAGTGAAGAGGTGGAGAACACGTATGAGAAAATGAAGGAGAAGAGAAGGGAAAGGAATTGATAAGAGGCATATGGATGGGGGGGGGGTGACAGGGGAGCGGGAAAGAAATGGGAGGCGAAGGGAAGGGAAGGGAAGGGAAGGGAAGGGAAGGGAAGGGAAGGGAAGGGAAGGGAAGGGAAGGAGAGCTCAAGGAAAGAGTGTGTGCATTTATTCACCTATTTGCCAGTGTGTGTATGTATGATAATTACATGGGTGTAACTATCTCAGTAAAACCTAACTAAACACACACACAGGCTGACTCCATACACAGTTTCAAATGTAGATATGATAGAGCCCAGTAGGCTCAGGAATCTGTACATCAGTTGATTGACAGTTGAGAGGCGGGACCAAAGAGCCAGAGCTCAGCCCCCACAAGCACAACTAGGTGAGTACACACACACCTTTCCTTCCCACTATTGATTAACAGGGAGCGGGAGACAGGTGCTATGTTCTATTTTGCGACTATTTTCCCCATGTAATTTTTTTCACTCGAGTAACAAAGGCAAAAAGAAGTCACTTGAATTTTGAAAATATACTTTTTCTCTTCACAATTTGGCATAGGAAATATAGCTTCAGATAACACATGCTAATTAGCTTATCAAAGCTGTATAGTAACGTATATTTTTGTAAATAAGTGAAATATTTACAGTAAGCTAAACAAATTTAAGAGATAGGATTTTGTTTTGCAATTATGTTGCGAAGTTATATAATAATATTTAAATGTAGAAATTAAATGTTTTCATTTCCTGTTTTTCCTGTGCTTAAAGCAAGAGGAGCATTTTATATTACAGAAACAATTATTACAAGGAAGCTCCAAGTCCGGAAAACTGTATATAAGGTCATAAATATGAATCTTAATATAAACAGTATGACGAGTGAAAAGATATACATCTTCAATTTATTTAAAATTATTTGCTAGATAATCAAACTCCATCATAAGTTCTAAAACGAGAATATTTACACGCCGGAGGAAAGGCTATATGAATTATTATTATATATGCGGGACGCGAGGTGCGGCCAGCAGACCAACACAAAGGAACCAACGTCCAGGCTGCCGCGGCATCCACTGTGCCTCCATAAAACTCTGTAATTAGCGGCACTCGATGACTCCACAGAATCAAGAACTCCGAAAGTTGAGAGTTTTGAGGAGCCCATGTAAGTTTCCGTCTTTTTAAGGAGATGGTGGAGGAGAGGGAGGGAGGCCGTCTTCTCTCATCCTCAGGGGTAATTGAGAATGTCGCGGAGTATCTTCTTACACTCTTATCTGGCTTTTATATTCCCTTTTCTCGTTCATCCCTTCAATCTCCCCTCTCTCCCTCCTTCAGTACCTCGGCTCTCACTGTCTCGTGTTTTCAACATGGTGCGCTAGACTCTCATTCAGGACGGCTCGTACTTCTCTCTCCTCGGAGGGCGAGTGTGGGAGGTAATTCAATATGAGGAACTTCGGTGTCGTTATTATTGATAGGATACTGTGGGTGTTTCCCGCTAGGGTTGTTACTAGGCTTCTCGCCAAATATATCGCTAGTTTCTTTACCATGTTCGTTGAAACCTCTATAGCTTGGTTCTTCGCGAAATTCGTCAATATATTAAAAGGTAAATTCTTCATCAGGAACGTCTCCCGCACCACAGGTAAATTATTGGGGGTCGCAGGTTCGTCACTATTTCCTTTGCTAGATTCTCCGTCAGGTCCCTTACCACATTCTCTTACAGGTTGGTCGCCAGGTCCCTCGCTAGAGCAGATGACAGTCAACCGACCAACACCAGGAGGAAGGGAAAGTTGCGGGATGGAATCAAGAAGGGGATCAATCTGTACTATAGGACAAGCCATGCTGGGACCAGTAATGACGGAGCCGGGACAGGGATGAATCATATTGTATCGTAAACTGTGCTAGGGGTGGACCATACTATCTATCGATAATGCATTGATGAGGATGTCGAGAAGGACATGCAAGCAGTGGGCCATGTAATGGGAGTACCATGAAAGGGAATGGGGTCATACCGGTCATGCCAAAGGGTGAGCCATGCACGGAAGGAGTAAGACATGCGATCAATCATGGTAAGGGGATGAACCATGCCTGAGGGTGGACCTTACCGGGGGATGAACCATGCCTGAGGGTGGACCTTACCGGGGGATGAACCATGCCTGAGGGTGAACCTTGCCGGGGGACGAACCCTGCCCGGGTGAGACGTACCAAGAGCAGGTTAGAGAGGGTGTGTGAGACACCTGACAATACCAGATATAGTTCCTCCACCCTCCGAGGACACTTATCCTGCCGCCTTAATTGGTGCCTCAAGTGTGTGTGTGTGTGTGTGTGTGTGTGTGTGTGTGTGTGTGTGTGTGTGTGTGTGTGTGTGTGTGTGTGTGTGTGTGTGTGTGTGTGTTATGACGGAGGTGAAGCCTCATCGTAAATAATCTACACATCATTATACTGAAAGCCTATGCCAAAAATATTGCTCTACATACTATTACATGGCTTGTGATTATTATTATTTATGTTTCTCGTTCTTAAAGTAGAATTAGATATGTTAATTTTATCTTGAGTATATGTATGTTTAATTGGGTAGCAATTCTTTTGAGAGGGGAGGACAAATGCAAATTGTCGAGCAGATAATAATTTAAGGAATTAAAAAACTAGTGACGGTTTAGTTGTTTCAAGTTACTATGCATGTTAATATTTCGGTACTCAATTTAAATAACCTATGCAAATGAGGTTATAGGCATACATTCTGTGGTATTAATAAGTAGGCTATGATTTGATTTGCATGTTCTGATTTGCAAGTTGCAGTTCTTTTAATTTGCATACTGATTTTAAGAGTGTTAAGTAACTAGTACACATAGTTAACATAGGAATAATAATTTATTTATATGGAATGAAATAATTATATTTACAAGTATGGTAAATTTAACGGTTAGAATAACTCATCTTGACAACAGCTGATGCAATTCTGCCACGTTTATAACTGCAGCTGTAATGTCGTCTGTAAGGCAGCCATATATTATATTATATATAAAGATTTCAAGACCAGGAGCATGTATAATACTTGCAAGATGGTAAATGATTTATCAGAAATTACTAATGATAGGTTTATATCTGACAACGAGTGTACCTTATAATCCGTTAAAATTAAAAGCGGCAACGCTAGCGGCGGGAGCCTGGAGCTCCCAGTCCGCCAAAAATTGAGACGTCAGTAAGTGTCGTTGACATGTGCCTTCAGGAGGTGCTGCTGGTTCCTTCCCTGACGCTGGTAAGTATTCTCTATTTCTGCTGGTAGTGATTACAATTTTAGGTCTATCAGAAAACATTTATCCAAATAATTACCAACCTAAAAGTTATTCACCTGAAATACATATATTAATAAGTAGTTATTTATTTAAGGTTACTTGTTGCTTAAAAGATAAGTTCGAGGGAAGGATAAAGCTTGTTTTATGATGCCTTTTACTTGTCGTGCCCCTCGGCAGGAAGCATTCCTACCTGGCATCTGGATATGATTATACTGCCCCTTATGTCTTCTACTTGTGCACCTGTTTACTCGTCACATGTTCCTGTTTAACACCTGGTGTAGCTCGTCCCCCGAGACCCTTGCAGCCTTCCTGAGACCTTTGCAACCCCTTCTGAGACCCCTGCAGCTCCCCTGAGACCCTTGCAGGCTTCCTGAGACCCTTGCAGCTCCCCTGAGACCCTTGCAGCTCCCCTCGAGACCCTTGCAGCCCCCCCTCGAGACCCTTGCAGCCCCCTTGAGACCCTTGCAGCTCCCCTGAGACCCTTGCAGCCCCCCTGAGACCCTTGCAGCCCCCCTGAGACCCTTGCAGCTCCCCCTGAGACCCCTTGCAGCTCCCCTGAGACCCTTGCAGCTCCCCTCGAGACCCTTGCAGCCCCCTCGAGACCCTTGTAGCCCCCCTTGAGACCCTTGCAGCTCCCCTGAGACCCTTGCAGCCCCCCCTGAGACCCTTGCAGCTCCCCTGAGACCCTTGCAGCCCCCCTGAGACCCTTGCAGCTCCCCCTGAGACCCTTGCAGCCCCCCTGAGACCCTTGCAGCCCCCCTGAGACCCTTGCAGCTCCCCCTGAGACCCTTGCAGCCCCCCTGAGACCTTTTGCAGCTCCCTGAGACCCTTGCAGCCCCCTGAGACCATTGCAGCTCCCCTGAGACCCTTGCAGCTCCCTGAGACCCTTGCAGCTCCCCTGAGACCCTTGCAGTTCCCCTGAGACCCTTGCAGCTCCCCTGAGACCCTTGTAGCTCCCCTGAGACCCTTGCAACTCCCCTGAGACCCTTGCAGCCCCCCCTGAGACCCTTGCAGCTCCCCTGAGACCCTTGCAGCTCCCCTGAGACCCTTGCAGCTCCCCTGAGACCCTTGCAGCTCCCCTGAGACCCTTGCAGCCCCCCTGAGACCCTTGCAGCTCCCCTGAGACCCTTGCAGCCCCCCCTGAGACCCTTGCAGCTCCCCTGAGACCCTTGCAGCTCCCCTGAGACCCTTGCAGCCCCCCTGAGACCCTTGCAGCTCCCCTGAGACCCTTGCAGCTCCCCTGAGACCCTTGCAGGCCCCCCCCCCGAGACCCTTGCAGCCTCTTGAGAGCCTTGCAGCTCCCCTGAGACCCTCGCAGCTCCCCTGAGACTCCTGCAGCTCCCCCGAAACCCTTGCAGACACAGGACATGTATACATTTTATAGTACTTCCTCGGTGAGAGGCTGAGGTGGGGCACAGGTCAAGTAGGGATGGTAAAATGACTAGGGAACGGCAGGTTAAATATAAACAGGTAGGAAGAGTATTCATCTGCGTCCAACTGTGTGTGTCTGAATGCATGTGTATGCGTGTTTGTGTTTGTACGCGCGTGTGTGTGTGTGTGTACTCATCTGTGCTTACATGCTCAATTTACCAATTCTGTCCGCTGGCAAAGGCCATATTTTATACCCCAATATAATGTATCGTATTCTTTAGTACATATGTAAAAAAAATCACTCTAGAATCTCTCTTAATATTATTAAAATGATTATATATTCTCGATTTGTCTGAATTTCACTTTAATATTGAGCATTAAAAAGATATGGGTCTACTTTTTTGTTTGTACCACATAAAGCTTTTATGTTTCAATTGATAAAATTAAAACACATTTTTAAGAATCAGAAATAGATGGATATTATTCACTGTCATTGTATTTACAATACATTCACCCTCTCACTGGTAACCAGCTCTGTTTGTTGGGAAAGTAAAGTTCTCATATATGTGTGTGTCCATATTATACACCAGATGAAAAGGTGATGCGAGAATAATGGAAGAGAAGACTAATTAATTGAATTACAAATGCAAGAACAATCCTGAATAAAATGAAGAAAATTTTAATACATCTTTAAAATATACTTTTGATGTGCAAAAAAATTCTACCAAATAAAATACAAAGCTCAAATACTATAAATGAATCGCAAGAATAAAAAATAGATATTTGACTGATGCAAATGTTTTAAATAAAATAAAAAAATATTCCTTCTAATAACTATGTTTAACTATTTGTAATTTAGTTTCCATCAGGTATAATCTGTATTTCTATTTGCAGTTAAAATATGCATACGTGATTCATCCCAAAATCTCTGTTTCCTGGGCTGTACATGTTTGCCAATTATTGACCATTCAGTCAGTGCAAGTAAATATACTAAATGGAACTTGCATTTAAGCTAATTATTTTTATTTTATCACATTTCAATGCAATTATTTAATCTAAAATAAAAAAATAATTATTTCAACGTATTATGAGAATTTCCTTTAATCTCATGCCAGTCCTCAGATGACCAGCAGAGTGGCGACTTCAAAGTTTCCCTTACAAAAAGACTGCCAAATTCTCTCACGATCTATGTGTGAGTCAGATTCTCGTAAATGAACATTAATAAAAATAGAACAATATTGCTCCACATTAGGAATACGTGTAAATAAATTTGTTCCCCAATCTCATCCTCTTTAATCATATATGTATCTCACAAAATGGAATATATCATCTTTGATGTTTAGTTTAGCGCTGGAATGAAAGGTTATTAGCCTCTGAAGAAATATTTACAACCCATCCACTTGTTAGATGATGCTTATTGTAACTGGACCATTGTACATATATATTGACGTAATGGACAATAGAATTTTATGTCCGCTTTATAGCCTTATAAAAAATAGTTAAAAACCAAACTTAAATATTCCTACGCCAAGCATAGCACACACACATTATATATTTTTCTAAAAGGGGGTACCACCTCTGGTGCAAACGTAAGCCGGGACTCATAACCTCGGAGAAGAAAATAGAGTACTCGGAGAAGACCTTGTGGATCCTCACTGAACACACACACATATATATATATATATATATATATATATATATATATATATATATATATATATATATATATATATATATATATATATATATATATATATATATATATATGTCGTACCTAGTAGCCAGAACGCACTTCTCAGCCTACTATGCAAGGCCCGATTTGCCTAATAAGCCAAATTTTCATGAATTAATGTTTTTTCGACTACCTAACCTACCTAACCTAACCTAACCTAACTTTTTCGGCTACCTAACCTAACCTAACTTATAAAGATAGGTTAGGTTAGGATAGGTAGGGTTGGTTAGGTTCGGTCATATATCTACATTAATTTTAACTCCAATAAAAAAAAATTGACCTCATACATAATGAAATGGGTAGCTTTATCATTTCATAAGAAAAAAATTAGAGAAAATATATTAATTCAGGAAAACTTGGCTTATTAGGCAAATCGGGCCTTGCATAGTAGGCTGAGAAGTGCGTTCTGGCTACTAGGTACGACATATATATATATATATCGTGTGTGTGTGTACATGTTTATTATATTAGGCGTCAGATAGCGTGCATTGGGCCTAGGATGATTAGGTTAGTTTTATTATTAACCTAAACCCAAAACCTTTTCCGGTTTATTAAAGTTCAATAGTACCAGATTTTTTTCTAATTGTCCATTACGTCAATATATGCACGATGGTCCCGATCGTTACTGTAGGTACTATCTAAACAGGAGGATGGGCCACCACAAAAACCAAATGACCAACTAACAAGCGTACTTTTGCCCTGAACATAGTCCAAGACTAAAATAAACTCTTGGTGTATATTGTATACACGGAAAACCCGGGTATACCACTCGGTGTATATATCATTTGCTTTTGAGGTATAAAATTACGTTGATGCTCTTGTTGATTTAAGGACGTCGACGATTGCTGGACTTGTGTGTTTACTGTAAATAGTAAAATGCTCATGACCAGCGTAAAAAAAAAATCGTTCATATTAATAAGTTTATAATAAAGCAGTATTAAATTATGTTTTGTATTATGTAATAATTGACCAGACTTTACCTATAAAGTTGTAAGTGTAATCTTCCATTATATTTATTCCTTATTGCAATGTTGTAAATGCTGTTGTTGTTGTAGATTTGGGGGCGACGACGATCGTGGGATCGGATACGCTCCGGCAACCCGACGACGCGAAATGGTGAAGAGGGATGGGATCCCATACACGGTAAGTTTGTTGACCACCACCGTATGTACACAAAGCCCAACCCGTCTTCACGAGGCTGTTTAAAGCAGCGGCCGTCCTCCCCAGACACATTCATCAATTTTAACTTTGTATTAAAAATTGGATTGTTCTCATATATAAATTAATATTATTGTATATAAAATTCTATGTATAATAAGGCGTAAGGTTAGGTGTTTAGGTTCTGTTGGTGATTATTTGTATTTGTAGAACGTGGTTGAAGTATTTACAGCTAAAAAAAAAAATTAGTCGAAAAAATTAGTCAGTGAAACACTTGTTACGGAAGTGTTCGAACGTCAACATTTGTGAGTCGTGTGTAAAACGTTTTTCATTCATAAACAGAGGGTTTGGCGGGTGCACGGAATGGACTTTGGGTCTTTGTTTGGAGGACGAGTTGCAATAACAGCCCGTCTTCCAAACAAAGCCCAAAACTGATTCCATGTACCTGCCAAACCCCCTGTTTATGAATGAAAAACGGTATACACACGACTCACAACTGATTTCGTTCGAACACTTCCGGAACAAGTGCTTCACTGACGAATTTTGTTCCAACCACAACGCTGTAAATGCTTCACCCACGTACTACAAATACAAATAATCGACAACAGAACCTAAACACCTAACTTTGCAGAACCGAAACACGCAAATGTTTAGTGATTTCTACTTGAAATTAGGTAACAGGCGATAGAAATAAAACAAGACACACTAGCAGCTCATCGTTCCAGAAGGACGAGGCGAGTAGTCATACTGTGATCCCTTGCTTGTTTACTCTCATCTCACTCGTGGTGGGAAAGAGACAAAATAGTGGTATATAGACAACCATAGAATACAGATAGCCTAATCACAAGAGTGTGGGCGGATCAGCTACACTGTAATCGACCGTCGGATTCACAATTGCTGCCTGTTGCTGGGTTGGGAGCTTGTTATGGACTAGGATAGCCAAAATTAAATTTGAAGTAGCCAATGTTAATTTGCATGCAAGAGAGTTAGTGATTACTTAAAGACGTTACTAAGATAACGGCTGACTGAAACGATATGCGTGTTAGTGGCTTGCAAGCATGTAAAAACACCAATTTTATGTACTCACAGACCCAGTGTACCTTCTTTTAAATAAATAAATAAATAAAAGGTGACCTGCACATTTAGCATTTCATATGCATATGTGAGGCAGAGTAAATGAGAGCAAACCATATGCAACATAGAGAGAAAAAACAAGCAATATTACCCGGAGGTTATATTGTATTGCGTGTATTGCTTTTACCATATTTGAATGATAAAATTTTGGAGAATTATTTTTTGATCATTATAATTTGCATGTGGGAGGTTCATTGATAAATATATAATACGCAAATCATGATAGGCTTATGCACATTTATTTGGAGGGAAGAGTACTGTGAAGGAGAATGTAAGGTACTGTGAACTATAGTGTGATGCTGTCTAAAAGTTCTAGGACTTCAGAATGCTTAGAAATGTGTGTCAGTCTAGAAGAAAAAAGAATTATGCGAGTTCATATATGTACATATTTACATACGAACACCGGTCTCTGGCTGCCGAGGAGCCACGCACACAAACCGGTTAGTTCAGAGGAAGTTTTTTATTCAGAAAACTATCAAGTGTCGTGGTAGTGTTTTTTGATAAGATTATTTCTTATGCATGTAGGTGATAAGTGTTACTGGCTAGAGGTAAACGTTCGTTAAATTGTTGGTTATGGAAATTTGGTGACAAAATTGAGGGTGAAAGCTGCATCAGTTGGTTACCTTGCCAGATTTCGCAGCTAGGCTGGACTATGTAATATTCGTAGTTAGGCAATACTATATATACTATTTGCAGCTAGTTATCAACCATTTGCAGTTAGGCTAGGTTATATGTAATATTCACAATTAGGCTATACAATTCTGAAAGTCCAATTAGGCTATACAATTCTGAAAGTCCAATTAGGCTAAATAAAGTACCTTACAGATTTGGAATATCGACAGGAAAACAACTCCGATATATTCCAGAAGAATCTAGTCACGAGGAAAGGTCAGGTAAACATCGTGTTTATCTATTAGGTGCTCTTGTTGATCGACTTGTTCCAAGGAGATTGAAAGATGTACAGATTATTTGTATTACTTTG